TTTTTTGACAATTGCATCTCAATGTAATTGAAACTGACAATTTGCATCCTCGATTGAAAACGCTAATATGACACAATTTTTTTTTTTAGTTCAATTAATGAGAAATATTAATTAACATTTAAAATAATTTAGAGCTTTTAAAGCCTATGTAGATAAACAAAATGAGGTATGGTTGTCGAATTTTGAAAATTGATACTTCTCTAATCGATCCACGGAGATAGTAGGAGCACGTGTATATAGAAAAAAAATTCAATTCAAGTTTTCTGATAATCAAGATGTCAGATTTTCGGATGGGAGGTGTCATTTGAAAGTTTGGAGGACGAGATTTCTCTCGAAGTAAATCTTATGAAAATCCAACGGTCGGATTGTAATTTGAATAAAAAAATGGTGGAGGCTCACATTTGCCATTTAATGTATATTGAACAACATTTTATCTTGGCAAGACATTTAAAAAAATTGGAACAATGTTATGTTGGTGGAATACATTAGCTTTTAAAAAATTGAAAGAATGTTAAAATTTTAGAAAATGGGTCCCACTAATATATGCTTTTAACGGTTTTGCTATGAAGCCAACAGTTGGCTACATAGTGGAGCTAGCAGTTGGCTCTATAATGGAGCCAACTTTCTATATACAACAAAATAAACCTACCACAAATAAACCTATCATATTAATAAAATTATATTAATGTTATTTAAGTAATCAGAGAATATGGTAGATTTATTTGTTGTATATAGAAGGTTGACTCTACTATGAAGCCAACTGTTGACTTCATAGCAAAACCGATGTTTTTAAATGCATTGACCAATGCGAGATGATGTTTAAATGGAGGATAGTTTTTACTTTAGCTTGAACTGATTCATTTTGAATGACAACAAATTTAGTCAAATTGTCTGCATTGCTACTTTTTGCAACACAACTTATCTATTTATTTTATATTACAGATAATATGGTATGTAGTGCCAAACAAAAAATCATATTTTTCCCTGTAAAATATAAACATTGTTCACAACATAGTTAGCAATGGACAAATTATCGGGATGATTGTTGTATAATTTAGAATTAGTTTGTCTTTAAGATAAATTGGATAAGGAATACTAGCAATCCTTTTAAGTAAAAGTTGCACAATCAAAACTAGATCCTTTTTTTAACAAAAAAACTCAAAAACTGAATACAATCGAGATGTCAACAGAACAAAGTCTAGATCCAACTCTTCTTGAAATTACACAATCAACCAAGGACCACGGAGAGTTGACAAGACACACACAAACACTCCACAGACTAGATGTCGACCAAAATAAGAGAAAAACTGCAACGCATGTCTACAAAAAGAATAATTCCTCCCCTTCCCCTACTTCTAGCAAACCCACCGTTATTGCCACACGACCCAACACACAAGCCGATCCCCAAAACCACATAAGAACTGAGAACTAGTATGTATGTTACTGGTCATTTTTTTCATTTTTAGCCATGTTAACGTGACGTGCTTTACACATTTCCGTTCCCATCTACTCTTGAAGATAACATATCTACTATGAGATGTTCAGGACAATGAGAGCCAGAAATACAATATGCGGCCACCTTCATTTGAAAATCTTTCAACATAATAATTTCAATAAAAGCAGCACTATTTCTCATTGTGTTTTTAACAAGAGTGTCACAGGAAATTACATTAGAGACCAAATTAAAGCAAAACAAGCATCTACAACACACATTCATATACTAATACGTCATTAAAACTTGAAAGAAACACCATTTTGTTAAAAGTTAAAACAATGGATTTAAATGTCGTTTTGTATGTCTTACACCGCAACTGGTGTGGCTTCATCAAGAGCAAGCACACCGGGCAACTCTTTGCCTTCCAAGAGCTCCAAGCTGGCCCCACCACCGGTCGATATGTGGCTCATAACATTAGCAACACCAACTTTCTCCACAGCAGCAACCGAATCTCCACCACCAATAATTGTGGTCACCCCCTTGGGACTAAGTTCGGCTAGCTTGTTTGCAATTGCCTGCAGAAAAGTTTCACAAACTCGAATGAAAAATGGGAAAAAATATTCTTCTGAAACTCAAACTAGCTTCTCTCTCTCCTCTTTTTTTTTTTTTTTT